TTAAAATTTCTTTTTCTTTGTTCTTACATTCTTTTGCTTTGGTAGAACTATGTCCTTGAAAATTTAGGACATTAGCATGTTATATTGGCAATTTTAAGATTAATTTGTTCGTCTTCATGCACTGAACAACACACAAAATTTTAGCTAATCCTTTTTTTAAAACCTCTTGCCCCTCTTGATACATGAGAGTTACAAAAAATGTAGGAGTGCAATTCATAAAAAATATATGTTTCATGCAATCTATTGAATGTAATTTTTAAATCATAAAATTAAAGTTGCACTTTTTTTTTGTAAGTTTATTAATGATTAATAAGTTTCATGCATGTTTATCTTCACTTATGAAAACAAATTGATAATACTTGAGACTTAAAAAGAAATTCATATGTAAAACATTTACATTTTATTATTGCGTGAACATGGATATATCATCAAAATATTATCTTGACTGGGCATGAATCTCGAGGCAAACTTATAGTCGAATTGAACGTCTTGAAAAGACAAACCCAACAACATCAAATTCGACTCAATCCGAGTCCAAATCAAAGACTCAATGCGTCTTTGGAAGGTTCAAATCATAATTCGAATTACAAAATGGTTTCCAGACATTACATGCTTATTATTGAATCGATCATCTCGATGAGATAAATCCAAAGAGCTCATGACCGTTGAATTTTGATATCATCTTGGACGCTACACCTTATGATCATTTTGACCTTCGTCACCTAGACAATTTGAATGAATCCAAAGAGCCCAAGCACCTAACAACAGTTGCTCGTTCATTATGATCCTTCCGACCTTCGTCACCAGAAAATTGTCTTTCTAACAACAATCGCCCGCCCGACTAAGGTCACTTCAACCTTCGCCGTTAGATAACAATTTTTTTTTACCATTTTCGTCCGCTGACTACGGTCCTTCAGACCTCCGTCGCTAGACTACAGTCCTTTAGACATCCATCGCCCACCGACTACAGTCCTTTTTCTGACTCCCGTCGCCTGACAACGATCTTTCTGACCTATGTCGCCCTCCGATTATGGTCATTCGTCGTCAGTGTCACTCGAATACCATCTTTTCGAATTCCATCGCCATCTAACTATATATGGTCCTGCCAACTTTAAGAACATTTCAATTCTGATTCTTCCAATTTCCACCATGTAATGCACTTTGTATGATGTATATTTGCTACATGAAACCAAGGCCTTCCCTCCAAGGAATGACCTTATTTGTAACTGATTGTACGTAAACACTAGTGGATTCATTCAAATTGAGTCAGGTCTCGTGGTTTTCCCCCCTTTTTCAGGGGTTTTCCACATACAAAAACTCTTGCGTCTCTTATGAACGCTACACCCTCTCTTTTATTTGATTGTGTGCTGGATCTTCGTACAAAGCTAAGACATTAAATGATAAAAGAAATTCTCTATAATAAAATATTATGGGTAAATAGTTGATCATGCACTTGACCTGATATGACCCATTAGAGTATATGATTGTATTGTTGTTTTGTGACTACTTGTTAAGTTCTTAGAGTAGCTGAGGATGACTCTAGGTGGAAGGCTAGGGTTTTTAGCAAATATGAGTTAAATTAAGCAATGAGAGTGGGGAGGCAACATTTGGAGAAGTTATTGAGGAGGCTAGGTTTAGTTTGGGATAATTTTGTTCTGCTTTCTAAATCAACTTTTTAGTTTAATAGTTTAATTGTATTTATCTAATATTTTTTATATTATTTAATAATTTAGTTGTCTTGAGAAATAAGACATATCTATTAAATCAAATACACATATAAAGATAACACTCCATATTGATACACAATATATTAGGATATTCTGGCCTAAGATTTTTCATATAAAACCCTCTTCTAAGGAATTTTATTGAGATTAAGGCTTCGTTTAGGATGATTTTTGTACTGCTTATTAATGCAGCTTTTTAGTAAAAAAATTTTTTTACCAGAAAGCTATTCTAAGAAGCAATAAAAAAGCCGTTTGAGTCAGCTTTAGACCACCTTTTTTTCCTATTTGAAGAAATTGTTGTACTTAAAAGTAGCTTTATAAAACACTAGACAAATAGTCCTAAATGAAACCTAAGCTTCTAATAAGTAGCATGAAAATTATTGTATCTTAAAAAAACAAATCCCAACTTCTCACAAAATCTCTTAGAAAAAAAAAACTCAAAATCAAAATTATAATTTTTTTAAATAAAATTATTATGAGAAAAATAATTTTATAATAATCTTTGCAAAAACAATTTTTCAAGAGAGTTGCTTCACTCTTCTAGAAGCCATTCAAATAAGAGAGATTATTAGGTACGGAGTAAGGACGGCCGCACACAAGTATAAGGTATCCAGCTAGGTACCACTCGGTACTGCTGGGTACCGTTTGGTACCCAATACTTGTGCAGACGGTCCACACTCCGCACTTAATAATTTTTCTTCAAATAATTTACCTTTACTCCCCCTGGGGTTTAGAGTTTGGATAAGATCTAGATCATATCTAGTGAGGTATGATCCCTTTATCTAACAAGACGTTGGACTTGACATACAATAAACAAATATGGATGTGATATGTCATATTTCCTTTCAAAACAATAAAGAAAATAAAAAAAAATTAAAAAACACATAAAGTAAAGACCTAAAAATATTTTTTAAAGACTAATGCCTCATTAGAGACAACTTTTTTTATTACTTTCTAAAGTTGTAATTTTTCATAGATATTTTATATGTTATATTCTCATATTTATAAAAATATATTTATTCTACCACAATTTAATATATAAAAATAAAATTAAAATAGAATTATAGTTAATAACATTTATTATTTATTTCATCTCCTTATAGCTCTTATTTTTATATAAAAATAAATTATGGTCTCAATCATTAATGAAAATAATTGATAGAATATTTGAAAAATCTAATTTGCACCCAAATAAAAAAAAATTTATGACTTTGCCACTAAGTATAATTTCTAATATTTTGATCTCATGGTAAGATGATTTCAAGAGTTTTAAAGGCTAAATTGACCATTTTTTGCTAGGAGATGGAGATCCCTAATTTTTTTTTTCAAATTTGAAAAAAATATATTTATTTACTTTATAGAATATCATATTAATTTTAATTAATGTCATTCGCTTCTGATTTTTTTTTTAATTGTGAATAGTGATGACTATCTACTAAAATATTTCCATTTCTTAATCAAAGTAATTTTTTTTAATTTAACATTAATTGGTATTTAAATAAAGCTCGAGCGAATTTAGATTATCAGACATAATTATAACCCTACGAGCATAGGTGAATTAGCAGCCACTCGAGCCGGCTTATGGTTGCCGACAAAGCCAAGAACTTTCTTTATCGCATCTCTCGCGTAATTCTGTGGATTCAGGGGCCCACTGGAATTGGCTCGCCCATTTCATCTTCCAATCTTAGGTGTTAATTTTAGAGGCTTACATAAAATTAAGCTAGATTTTTAACCATAGAGATGCCTTTTGGTGTGATGGGAGAGAGCTCTCAAGTTTCAAGAGCTCTAGCATCTTCTTCGCCCCACCGCCAACCACATATCGCCGTCGGACTTCTGCCCGGTAACCGACTACCGCCGGACTTTAGCCCGACCTTCTTCAAACCATCGCTTGGCAAATGATCGCCGTCGGACTTTAGCCCGACCTTCGTCGAACCACCGCCCGATCGTCGACCGCCGTTGGACCTCCTCTCGCAACCAACTTGATTCTCTACCGGGCTACAAAGTATAATCCTTCCGACCTCCCTTGCCAGACAACAATCTTTCTGGACCCTAATCTCCTACCTACTACAATCATTTTGACCTCCATTTCCTGCTACAATCCTTCCGACCTCCATCATCGGACAATGGTCTTTTTGACCCCGGTCTTCTGCCGACTATGGTCTTGCTGACTAAACAAACATGTCAATGTTGATTAATGTAAGTTTCACATTGTAATGCACTCTATATGATGTACATTTATGAAATCAAGCCAATGCCTTCTCCCAAGGAAAGACCTCATTTATAATTGATTGCAAATACAAGTGGATTCATTCAAACTAGGTCAGGCCATGTGGTTTTTCCCCCTTTTCAGGAGTTTCCACATAAAAACTCTAGCGTCTCTTATGATCGCTACACCATCTCTTTCATCTGCTTGTGTGCTGGATCTTCGTACAATGCTAAGACGTTAAACTATATATTTCTCTATCGTCGCGAATATTCATGGACGCAATAGGTCTTAAACGAGTTTGATCTAAGTAATAGGATTGCTGTGCAGGTAATGCTTCTTTAAGGCACGAAGGGAAGAAAAATTATTTTGTGCGGATATATATGGATCTCGTCCAGAGGCGAATCATCACGCGTTACGTTACTTTTTTGCTGTGTATCCCGGATGTGTACCGGATGACGTGGTGCATACTAATTCGCCTCCAAACGATCCGTTGTCCGCACAGAACAATTTCTCCCGAAGGAGAGTTTGTTTTAAGAGACCTGATTTTCGTTAACGTTTCCCTTGTCAGCTATTTTTTTCCGTAACTTTTTAATTTATTTGAACTTCAAAATATTTTCAGCAAGTTATAAGCAAATTATTTTATTAAAAATAAAAAAAATAATTATTTTAATGAAATAAAATATTATACTAAGAAGAATTAGCTTGCAATTCAATAATAAACTAATTAAAAGGTAGTTATCATGAACCAAATTTCTCAATCTTTACTCCCCTTGCTACATTTGTGGCACCCACCAATTAACACTTCTTGCTCCAGACGAATTATTATGTCTGGTCACTAGTAGTCCGGACATCCAATTCAGAAGCGCCACATCACCCAAATACATCGAGACCCGATGTATTTAGGTAACGTGGCGCGCCTGATTGGTGTCCGAACGAATCCGACACCGGACGTAATAATTTGCGCTTGCTCCCTCCCTATCTCCTATAAATACTATGCTGTGATCCTTCATCAGCCCAATTCAATTTCCTCTCTCTCTCTCTTGCTCATATCGTTCTCTCTATTTCTCATCATGAAAACTTCCTTAGCATCAACCTCAGTCCTTCTCTTACTTAGCCTAGCAGCTTCCAACCATGTCCCATGGCTTCTTCTCTTGCTACTAGCAACTCTCTCAATCTCCCTCCTCCTCTTTCTTCCTGCATGGCTTGGGCGAGGTGGGCTCGCATGGGCTCCGACTAGAGCCCGAACCCAGCTTGCTTCTCTAATCCCACCTGGCCCGTCCGGTTGGCCTCTCCTTGGCTCCATCCCATCTATGGGCCCGCTCGCCCACCGAAACCTTGATTCCATGTCAACCCACCACAACGCCAGACGCCTAATGGCGCTCAGCCTAGGCGCCACCCCGGTGGTCATCAGTACCGACCCGACAACCGCGCGTGAAATCCTTTTCGGGCCGGCTTTCTCCGACCGGCCCATAAAAGCCTCAGCTCGTTTGCTCATGTTCGAGCGGGCCATCGGGTTCGCCCCCGCCGGAGACTACTGGCGCCATCTTCGCCGGATCGCCGCCACACACATGTTCTCTCCACGTCGCATCGCCGTGCTCGAAGGAGTCCGGCGGCAGGCGGTGGATAACATGGTGGCTCAAGTGCAGCTCAGGATGGACACAGGAGGTCAAATGGTTGTAAGGGAGGTGCTGGAGAAGGGGTCACTGGAGAATGTGATGGGAAGCTTGTTTGGGTTTAGGGTTCCGGCGAGGGAAGTGGAGTTGCTGGCGGAGATGGTGAGGGAAGGATATGAGTTACTAGGGAGGTTTAGCTGGGAAGACCATTTTCCTTTAGGAGCTCTTCTGGACTTCTATGGGGTGGCGAGAAGGTGCAAGCATTTGGCTTCCAGAGTTCAAGTTGTTATAAGTAAAATAATGGAAGATAGGAGAAGAGAAGAAGAGCTTCATCAAGATGACTTTCTTGGAGTTCTTCTTGGCTTGCCTAAGGAGGAGAGTCTCTCTGATGGAGATATCATAGCAGTGCTTTGGGTACGTACCTCTCAAATTTTCTGAGTAATTTATATTTCATAGGTGTTACACATAACAAATTATTATCTATAAAATATATCTATATTATTGCATTAAGGAATTTATAATGTGATTTTGCTGTGAGAAAAATTTACTTTCTTTTTGAAATAAAATGTTTAATCTTTATATATATATATATATATATATATATCCTATATCAAATAACATATTATCTAAATTAGCAAAATATATAATGATTTTATACTTTTTAATCCTTAAGGGGCCGTGTGATTTGAAGTATAATAGGTGCGAAGTATTTCAAATGGCAGGAGTTTGAAAAGATATTGATGTTTAGTTTAAACTTTGATGGGAAAGAAATGTAGAGTAAAAGTATTAACTATTTGAAATTTATCACTTAGTTCAATTTAGATGTATTTGAAAATCGTTGGATTTGTCTGAGTTTTAAATGCATTGTGACTGCTACCGCTAACCATCGCATGTTTGTTGTTGACTGGCGGATGCAAGTCGTCGCCACCTGCTGTAAGCTATTGGCGACCCACCACCATTGTCTCCTGCCATCGCCGCCAGCTACCTCTGCTACATTCGTCATCGATCATCAATCACTATTAAGAGCAAAAAGAAAACAATACTTAAATTTTATTTATACTCATTCAAATAGCTCTAAATTTTTTAAATATTTTATATTTCTTTTACATTGCATTTTTTTTCATCAAACATAAGAAGTCCTAAATTAATCACTCATAAAAAATATTTATATTCATCATATGTATATCTCTTACGAGTCTATCCAAATATATCTAAAGAATTTAATTTGAAATGCTATGTTATCTTTTTTTTTTCTTGACTATGTATATAAAAAAAATGATGATTTCATAAATTGGCGTCGATTTATTTATTTGACATGTGATTGCTCATAGAATAGTTGCAGCAACTTTAGGTTTTGTTGAGGACGGCTTTTTTATTGTTTTATAGAGCAACTTTTTAGTATAAAAAAAATTTTGAGCTAGAAATTTTTAGTAAAACACTGCATTAGAAAGCATTAGAAAAGACACCCTAAACGAAATCTTAGGCCTAGTTGATTGGACGTTTTTTGTGCTTATTCCTTTTTAAAACGATAAAATTATTTCTTATTTACTGTTCGTTTCCTCAAACCACGTTCCCAATAACATAATTTTCTCTATTTTTCTACTGTTTTGAGAAAGCTTTTTATATGTGATTTCTCCGTTAGAAAACTCCTTTTTATGAACCAATATTTCTTAAAACTATCTTTTACAAAAGTATCGAATAACCAAACGAAGCCTTAGTGTAGTACTATTGGCACTTATTAAGGATTGTTTATGAATTCTTACTAATTTCTTACCTCACCAAAGTAGATGACGAAAATAGTAGGCTTTGTTTGAGATGACTTTTTTATTGTTTATTGAATTAGATATTTAGTACATAATTTTTAATTTTTGCACTAAAATTTCTTTTTAAGAAGAAATAAAAAGTCCTCCCAAATGAAGCCTAAACAAATTAATAACATTAGTAAAAAAACTGGATTATTCTTATTTATCGTAATATTAAAATTATGAAAAAAGGACTTGAGTACGTAGAAATCATATTAAAAGAGTTATATAAATATATTAAACGTACACATTACACCCAATGAATGCTAAGCTCATCCAATAACGTGGGCTAACTTTGTAAAGTCTTTCCCACAAAAAAAAAAAAACTTTGTAAAGTCAATTTCAGCTAATTAGAAAGAGTTGATGATGATGAGCTTCCTCATTGAATTTGAATTTCATAGATTAAAATTTTATTTGGAGTAGATTCATTATTTTATGAAGTTGATTGTGAAATTACTGAAAGAAAAATATCTTAATTATTTTGATCATACAAAATAATTTTATTATTAAATTTTCTAAAATATAGTATAAAAGAAACCTCGAAATAATAGTTAAATGAAATTATCGTTATTATGTAAATTATCACAAATAGACACAAAGCTCATGATTATTTGCTCTGACAATAACAATACATAGGCGTGGAACCGGCCTTTCTTCTGAAGTTGGGTAAAATAGAATTTTGAAATACGTAATTTTATATATGAAATAGAAAAGAAAATTTATTTCTCAGAATTTAGACAACTGTACTTATTGAAGATGAGAAAAATAATTAAAATATGTATTTTTCTTAAAAAAAAAATTAGGTTGGAAAATTGTCCACCCTAAACTTTTCTTGATTCCACCTCTGACAATCATTTCAAATTCATGAATATGTGGTGGGCAGTTGCTCTAAGTCAAAAATGATTTTTTAATAATTTTTTATCAATTACTTTATTATTAAATTTATATTTAGCTTACTTAAAAAGGTGATTATTGGACTTTTATCATATTTAGGAAATGATTTTCCGAGGCACGGATGTTGTTGCCATACTAATGGAATGGATCATGGCCCGAGTGGTACTTCATCCAGCAGTCCAGGCTAAGGCCCAACAAGAACTTCATAGCATAGTGGGCAATCGGCCCGTTAATGATTCGGATGTTCCGAAGCTTTGTTTTTTGCAGGCCGTAGTCAAGGAGACCCTCCGAATGCACCCGCCCGGCCCACTCTTATCATGGGCACGACTAGCGGTCCATGATGTCCACGTTGGAAAATATTTTGTGCCCTCGGGGACTACCGCTATGGTGAATATGTGGGCTATAGCTCATGACCCGAAGATTTGGAAGGACCCATGGGTTTTTAGACCCGAACGGTTTCTTGAAGAGGAGGTGAATATAATGGGATCAGATTTGAGACTCGCTCCTTTTGGGGCTGGTCGACGGGTTTGCCCTGGTCGGGTCTTGGGTTTGACAACAGTTCACTTGTGGTTGGCTCGGTTTCTTCAAGAGTATACTTGGGTTGCCGCAAGGCCCGTGCAACTCGTTGAGTGTCTCAGACTTTCTCTTGAGATGAAGAAGCCATTGATTGTAGGAGCCATATTACGTTAGACTTTGTTGGTGATGCAATAGGTTTGGATGAAGAGAAGAGAGTCCTACTTGTATTTATAAATTTGAATAATTTGATATATTTTGCAAGTTAAAGTTCCTGATAAAGTTTTAACAATGTATATGATATAATCTGCTACATTCTTCTCTTGGTAATTGATAATATATAAATATGATTTATAAATGGGTTTTCGATTTGCTATTCTATTCACTCAAAATAAATGCAAATAAGCTTCAAATTCCTTTATTTGAGCAAAAAAACATTTAAAGGATATAGTTTACTTTCTTTTATTTACCCTCACAATTATATATTTTCTCTTTTTTCATTTAGTCTTAATTGATTGTATATTAAAAAAAGAAATATATTTGTTAAATTTAATATAAAGTTGTTCATTTAAACCATCAACTTATTAATACAAATCCTATCCTACCTATCATGTGGCATCACGGAATCATCATAAAAGAAAGAGTCCATCATGACTATAGGAACATGTGGAGCTTTTTATATATCATGTATGCCACATAAAATATTACCATCACATGGTAGCTTGTATATATTATGTAGAAGCATGTATGAAATTATGTAACATGGCATTCACCTCCATGAAATATAAATGAGATTGCATATACAACATAATTAATCATGTAGGAACAATGCATGTTATTTTCTTTAAGGAATCATGTATGTCACATTGTATGTATATTATATGGCATCTTAAGCATCATTAGAGCAAGATTAATCCTATATACTTATCATTTTACACATATGAATACATGATAAAGTGGATGAAAATATAGATAATGATAATAGGATCATATGAATCATGTCAACCGCTTTCCAAAAGAGCGAACAAATTCATAAGAACTTAAAGATAATTATATGAAGAAATTTATTTGTGAAATTATTCAACATGAATCCACATGTGAGAAAGAAATATATTTGTGTCATATAATAAGGAAAATATAGCTTATGCCAAAAGGCTAAGAGATAGCCCAAGGAAATGATGGTTGTTGACCTCATTATTTGAGGTCAATTTTTTCAAATTAATTTTTAGTGCCTAATGTAAACATCACTTTTAGGACTTCCCTTAGGTGGATATCCACTGACGTAGTACTGATACAACTTTCTAAGTTAGCCCAAATCGAATCGAACAATTTAAAATCAATAAAATAAAATCAAAATCATATTCATTAGACTTTACATTAAGTGAACCTAATATGATCAAATCGGTATCAATCAAATCAAAATTATTCATTTCTAACATGATTTAAATTAAATTAGCTCATCTCGATGTATGTTGACACGAACCAGTGTAATATTTAGATAAATTGACTCGAATTAGGGATAAAGGCTTGATGTTGGATAAAGCCGACCCCACGTAGTGGGATAAAGGCTTGATGTTGTTGTTGTTGTTGTTGACTCGAATTAGGTCCAACTTAACAACATCAAAATTGATTAAATCCAAATTAACTCGTCTCAAACCTATTTAAAATTGAAATCAACATTGATTAAATTAGATTGATCAAATCAAACTATCATAAGTTTATAGTTTTTGCAAGCCTTCTCTCTCTCCCGTCCTCTCTGCTTCGCGCGACACAAAGGGCCGAAACCCTCATCTTCGTCCCTTTCTCAAGGGACCCCGACCGAACTCTACCTCTTTAGACTCCTTTGCCTTGGCCGACGCCAAAAATCTCCTCAACTACAGGTAATCATCCCTCACATCTTCCTCTTATTCCTATCTTCTTCTTCTTTCACTCTTGGCTGGTCCTACTCACTTAAATCAGGTATTGAGGGTTCTTGATTAAAATCTGAGGCAAGATTTATTTATGTTTCTCTCTTTTGAGAAGCATTGGTAATAAGAGAAATGATGAAGGTTTGTTGGAATGTATATACAAACTTACATGTTTTTTTTTTTTTTAATCTTGGAGGACAAATGACTGCATTTATTTCATTTTGTATGGTTGCATTGTCTCTTCCCTCCATTCTTTTTTGTTCTTTCTTTTATAAAATATAAGAACCCGGTAGAGCTATTTCCATGATAAATTGTGATATCTTTCTTAGAATATGATCAATCAATATTTATAGGTAGCTTGTTTTGTTGCCCTTTTTGCCATATTAGTGAGGTGTTTCTTGACCTTGTTATGAAGTTGATATGTAAAAGGGCTAACCTATATTCTATGGCTAATCTAATGAGAAAAGTAATGGAGATGTGGGATTGTACCTTACATGACATGTATTTTGTCTCATTGGAAGAGTGTGAGTTCTTGGAGGAAATAAATTTGTACTAAAATTTTCTTATCTCCCAATTGTATGCAAATAACTGAGTTAAGTTTTGTTATTGTAAGGTTGATTTTAAGACAAACTTGAGATAATTGCAAGATGCGTTTCATTCACTCATATTATGCGTATTTGCAAATAAGAGGCTTATAGGCGTAATTTGGGAGTGGAGAACTTGTGGTAGCTTTATTACTACATAAGACTGAAAATAACATGGGCGATTTTGTTCATAGTTGGAAAGAAAATCATGATAGTATGATTCATTTATGTTAAGGGATTAGAGAGTATTAGAGAAGATGTGGAAAGGTGTTTGACATCCTTTAGCAGTTGTTTGAAGGAGAATGTATGTGTTGGAAAGCTTCATGCGTTTTGGAAAAGAATGGAGTTATATTGAGCATAGGCATTGAGTTGTTAGAACAACCACATGAATTTGTTGTTCATAGTTACAAGTTGGGTCTAATATTAAACATATTTTAAAAAGATAAGTTTTAAGGTATCTTGCTTTCATTAGTGAGTATATGAAATGGAGATGTGAGATATTTGCAAAATTTATCATATTCATTCATAACTCATTGTGAGGAAAATATATGTAAGGTGGCTTATTCTATGTATTTGTAACATGAGTAGTCTCATGTGGTGTTTTAGGAAAAGGGAAGTGATAGATTGCTTTATATTTAAGCAAGTTGTTGTTAAGAAAAAAATTTGTATAAGTTGAATAGTAAAGTGGAATGTGTATATTTAGAAAAGTGAATTGTGTGATCATGAAAAGTAATGTGTATATCTTGAAAGATGAAGTGTACGTATTTTGAAAAATGGAAAAAGTGTGCGTGCGAAAAAGTGAGATATGTGAATATTGAAAAGTGAAGTATGTATTTTGAAAAGTGAAGTGTATAGAAATGGGTATATTTTGGAAATATGAAGTGTGTGTATATGTTGATAATTGAAGTGTATGTGTTGTAAAGTAAATAATGTTGAAAAGTGAAGTACCTATTTTGAAAAGTGAAGTGTATAGAAGTTTGTATATTTTGGGAGAGTGAGGTATGTATTTTGAGGAGTGAAATGTGCGTATTTTGGAAAGCAAAATGTGTATTTTCAAAAAGTGAAGTGTTTGAAAAGTGTGTGAAATGCTTTGAGAAGTAGAGTGTGTAAACTTTGAATAGTGGAATGTGTGATTTTGAAAAGTGGTTTATGTATATTTTGAAAGATGAACTGTGTGATTTTGGAAAGTGATTTATGTATATTTTGAAGGGTGAAGTGCGTGATTATAGTGAAGTGTTTGAATTTTGAAAATGTGAGATGTGTGTATGGAAAATGTGAATTTTGTGTGTGTGTTGAAAATTAAAGTGAGTAGAAATGTGCACATCTTGGAAGAACAAAGTGTATACATATTGAGAATTGAAGTGTGTGAATGTGTTGAAGAATGAAGTGTGTCAACGTTAGAAAATGAGTTATTTGGATGATTGTTAGAAAGTGAAAGTTTAAAAGAAAACCTTAGCTCTCTTTCTCTTTCTCTCTCTCTCCCTTTCTTCTCATCTTCTCAGTTCTTGTGCGTCGGTATAAATTTTAGAAAACTATATAAAGAATCTTCAAAGCCGAAAATTCTATAAGCAAAGTCAATCGAAGCTGGCACACAAGCCTGAAAATAAGGTATATTTTAATTTGATTGTATTTTTAATTACTTTATTTTAATTATTAGCATGCTCTAACCACAATTTTACTTTTTTTTTGTTGGCATAAACTATGAGGAACAGTGGTGATCAAACGAACAAAGGTACTTAAGGAGATCAGTCGCCTCCATGACTATCGGATGGAGGTGCTACGACGGAATATCATCGGACATTGACTATGGTTTAGGTAAATATTCTAAACTTAGATAGCCTTAAGGCTCATAAGCCACATGATGTGTTTTGCGATTCTCGAGCCTTAGGTCATTGTAATAACATGTTGTATTTGAATTACCTTTATTTTTCGTTAAACCCAAAACCCATAATTATATATTTTATTTACATCAGTGCATTTGTCTAAAGAGTTAGCAACAATAATTTATATTATTCCATATAATATTAGTGTCATTTCAAGATAATAATTAAAGATGAGTCTTAGTGAATTTCAAACACCAAACATGCGTCCATTAACACACCAATCTATTTTTATTGCTGTTAACAAAGTTTGAAAACTAATTTTTTAATATGGTATAAATATGTTGGAATTATATTATCTATCAGGTTCGTCTCCTTAAGTAGGCTAATGATTGATTAAAGCTTTCTTTAGGTGCATTATATTATATATTTATACTTAACATCGATCTTCACAGCTACATATAACTCGGAGTGAGTAGTGTAGCTATTCCAAATTGGTTGTTGTGCTGCGTGTAATAAATCATAAAAGTTTTTGCCTCCATATTTGAAGATTCTTTTGTATATAATTGAAATTGTAACCCAATTACATCATAAATCAAGTCCTCAGATGTTTTATCTCTGCATTCTTAAACTATGTTGGAACTTGCAGAAGGGCCACACCGAGAGTCAAAATGAGGCTCGTACTCTCCATGTGAAGTCCAATATCAATATCCTGCCATGAATCCTCTACGATATAGATTAACAGTAATCTCATCTAGTGTGAGGTATTATGCTTTATTTTCGTGTTTGAGACATGAACAACAAAGCCTACCCTTTGATATAAATGAAGGTAATTGACTGTCTGCTTGAATGAAATAGTTCACTCAGTCCAGAAATTCATCTTTTAATGTCTTGCATCCAGGAAACATTTGATTATACATCCAACTTTTGTATTTTTGAATATCCATTACACACTTGAACTATAAATTTTTACAACTAAATAATGATATTTGTATTAATTAAAAAATTAAATAATATGTGCAATATTGATGATTTTAGGAGTTTGTATGTATAGTTGTGTGCACTGGCCTCCATCACGCACTCATTGTATATTGCACAATAGAAGAGTGTATATGAATTAGTGCAACACATTAATGCATATAGTTTTCCAACCAAGTCATCAGAAGGTTCCTGTTTTATGTGACCAAACCATCTAAGGAGACTCTCTCTAATCTTATTTTTCGTTGGAGCTACTCCAACCTTTTCTTATATATGCTCATTTTGTATCATGTCTCTAAGAGTAAAGTCACTCATCCACCTAGCATCATCATCTTTGTAACACTTAATATTATGTTTCTCTTCTAATGGCCAACATTCTACACCATAAAGCATTATAGGTCTCACCACCATTTTGTATAATTTTCCCTTGAGTTTGAGGGGAACTAATCTATCACACAACATGCTTGTTGCATTCCTCCGCCATTCAACATGAATTCTGCTAATAATACCTCCATCCATTACACCATCATCATGAATAATAGACTCCAAGAATAAAACCACTCAACCACCTAAGCATCCTCATATCTACAACACTAACTTAAGATTATGGTTCTCTTTTAATGACCAACATTCTTCACCATAAAATATTGTAGGTCTCACCATCATTTTTTTAGAATTTTACATTAAGTTTGAGGGGAAATTATCTATCACACAATAAGCCCTATGTATTCCTCCATTCCAATCATCCAACATGAATTCTGCTAATAATATCTTCATCAACTACACCAACATCATGAACAACAGATTATAAGAGTAAATCCACTCATCCACCTAAGCATTGTCATCTCTGCAACACTTAACTAACTATTATGCTTCTATTTTAATGACCAATATTATACAACATAAAGCATTGTAGGTTTCACCACAATCTTATAGAAAATTTTCTAAAGTTTGAGGACAACTTTTCTATCACACAAAAAGCCCTAAACTGAACAATCTTCACGCATCTCCTAATTAATCTTAAAATATGAACAATAGACTCATGAAATGGAAGGAACTAGGAAGATTACCTTCTCAACAAGAGTCGATCGTGGAATGAGACGGCGGGGATGATGTATCCAAGGAGAACGCTGGAGGCGACAATAAGGAACGTCGTCGAAGGAGGAGACAATATGGAACGTTGTCGAAAGTGCCAAGCAACTAGCCATGAGAGGGGAGAAGGTGGCTGCGAAGACGAGGAAGGAACGTCATCGAAGTAGACGATGGCACAGGGAAAGATCGTCGAAAGACTGCCGAGGGCAGAATAGAGCGAAACCACCGGTTACGAAGATGAAGAATGCATGGTCTAGCAAAACATAATGAGAACGAGTGAATGAAATAAATGGTCAGGATGCTAGTTTAGATAGAGATGTTTGTGAAGAAGATTTTATAGTGGGAGCTCGCTTGTGAAGACAACCATGGGACATATGTCATATGACTCATGACGAATCTTGTTCGAATTAGGTTCGAGCAATATTTGTATTTATTTTGATTCATATTTGAACATTCTTTGAATCAAATTTAAATAAAATTTGATTGCATCTAGATCAAATACTATTTGAACTTGATTCAAATATAATTTGAATTCATACCAATTTAAACTAAGTTTGCTTGGGTGAACTTCAATAGCATTCCACGTATACAAAGTAAGGATAATTTGATCTGAAATTAACTTTCAATCATATTTTTCTAAGAATTAAAATAATGATCATATTTCTCTGAATTCAAACATTATGATGTGCATAAAGTCAAATTTCTCTTTCTTAATCTTATAGTTCTTTGATGACATATCATTCATAAAAAAGCTAATATTCCTTGAATAATTATTCAATTATTAAAAAAATTCATATTATTATGATATAACAGTTTTTATAATTTATATAACTAGAGGAAAGCACATGACAATCAAACCATTACCTACTTGAATTAATCTTGTACCCTTTTTTTTTATTTTTTAATTTTTTTATTTTTAAAGAAATCATTATGAAAACCAATCTTACACTAAAATAAATTCAATGATTAAGGCTTCTTTTGGGATGGCTTTCTAAATGTCTCTTAAAATAGCTTTTCAATGTAAAAATTAAAAATTAAAATATTTGAAATAAAAAGTTGCTTTAAGAAGTACTAAAATAGCCGTCCCAAATGAAGCTTTAGATTTTGTTTGGGGCGGCTTTTTATTGATTTTTAAATATTTTTTTAATAAAAAAAGTTAAATTTTGTACTAAAAAATTATTTTAAGAAACAACAACAAAAAAAAAAAAAAACCATCATAAACGAGGCAAATTATTACGTGCGGTGTCCGGATCGTCCAGAGGCGAATCTGGATGCTCCACGTCACTATGTGGCACGTCCGAATTCGCCTCCGGACGAATACGGACGCCGAACTTAATAATTTGCCCTTAAACAAAGCCTAAGAACTAGTCATGGTCTGACCTAAAGATGAACTTCTATGATCACCGCCACATCAAATTTGTATTCAGCTGAGTCAACACAGAATTATAAACAAATATTTAACTAAATAAAATTGAAGCAAAACGTTTAACTTCAAATTAATTTTCGGGCCCTTATAAAACCCGATAATTCATCAAAGCTATACTCATCCCCTCTAATTTCTTCTCCTCCCTAATTCAAATAAAAATTACTAAAAACAAGAACAACAAGGTTCCAGATCTACAGTTTTCATCGTTGGAAGGCAACACAGCTAATCTAAAAGGAAGGCCGGCTCGATCTGACCGAGATCCGAATTGGTGCGATCTTGCCGGAGCCGGAACCGCGGCAGTTGTTGCAGGCCATCCGGCCGGAACCGGCACAAGTGCGGCAGCCGCGGTCTCCGTCGGACCAACGCGAGCAGAGGCACTCCACCTTGCCCGTTCCGCTGCACTTCGGGCACCGTTGCTGCCACCCGCCGGCGAGAGGCGGATGCATCCGGCACTCATCTGCCGCCTTCACGAGCATCGCGCCGGCCACCACGCCGAGACCAGTCGCCACTTGAGTCGCCAAAACTAAAGGCCCCATTCTATCTCTCTCTCCGTTACACAGATTCGTGATTGGTGTGGAATATTGAAAGGGGAAATCGGAAAAAGGTTAGAGTTTTGAGGGGTTTGTGATGGCAGCTTTTATAATGGAATAAAGAGTGATGCCGTGTTTGACTGTCTCTTTTGAAGAGAGAGAGAGTGAAGAAGCTGCCCACCTGATGCGGGTTTCTAATTTTTTCACAATTTTTTTTTCTAGATGCAGCTCCCTTTGGCTTCTTCAGGAACAATTTTTTTAATATTTTATGAAACAGTTTTTTTATTTAAAATTATTTAAATTAAAAAAATTATATTAAAAACTTAAATATATTGATTTAGAATTTTAACTATCAACTAAGAGATATTTGATTTGAGCTTACAAAAATAATATGTATGTAATTTATCTTAATTGACCTAAATGTTAAAAAAATTATTTTTCCACAAAAAAATTGTGCTATAATATTTTGATAAAATTTATGTTAGCATAAATTTAAAAATGATTAGTTCTATTTAAGATTATTAAACTATAATTTGTTTATTTAGAATAAAAATTTCAATGAAAATAGAATAAATTTTAAGCTATTTTGATATAAATTATCATATTTTTTACATATCAAAATTTTCATTGAAAATAAAAACAACATAATTCAATTTGATAATAAAGTTTAAATTTTTATGATCAAAAATAGTTTTTTAATATTCAAATAAGTTAGAGTATGAAGGTTTTTAGAAAGCATGCAATAAATTTTTATGCTATTTTGATAAAATTTATTTCCAAAGAGTGTAATATTAATTTTAGATATATTCTGATTAATTTTATATAAGAAATAAAATTATTATTTTTTAGAGAGAGTTCCAGCCGCCTCAAATGAATTTCGCCGGAAGTTGAAGGAAAAAAAAACGTGCGGAAATAATTATATCTGTGTAGCGTTTCGTGGAACGGGTTTGAGGGTGTAAGCCAGTTGACTTTAGCTATGCGCAGGCGACTTGACTGGAATTATTTTTATTTATTTATAATTTTATAATCGGGCCTAAAGGGATGTTAGCTTCAAAGAAAAACATCTGCTCCTCTTTAGTGACGTGCATGCTCTGCACGTTGTGATTTTATTATTGTTAAAATATAAAATATTAGTCTGAGTTTTGATGAATCCAAATCCCGGATGGAGGGTTATGATCGAGCCATGTAAAATAATTTTGTTGACAGTATAATATAGAATAACTAAATTATGATGAATGTCCTCTTCTAATGGTGATGAAAGGGGTATACAAGAAGAAATTATTTTGTGTGTGGAGTCAGGACGGAAAGAATCATTCGGATTGTGATTCTACACACAGTGTGTACATTCATATGTCTGAAAGATTCTCACGGTCCAGACTTCACACAAAATAATTTATTGTATACAAGTGATAATGTGGATAGTGTTGCATGATATTTGGGATTGATTCCTTGACTTAGAAGAATGGAAGGGGCTAGATAGAATGGAATTAGCTTCAGGTGTTTGATTTGGACTCATTTGGGCTTGGATTGAGTCAAATTTGGTGTCGTTGGGCTCGTATTTTCGAGACGTTCAGTTCGACTATAAGTTTGCTGAAATCGGAGTTCATATGATCTACGATTTAATTTTTGAAGTTTCCAACTTGAATTTCCCTTGAGATTCGTTTCTGATCGACATAATTTTTTTGATGCTATATCAAGTGGGAAAGCAGGTGTCTCATAAAAACCAGTAAATTATTTTTTAATTATCTTCTTATTCCCTAATTTCTTTTTTTTTTTTTAAAACTTTCCCTTACTATTTACAACACATTAGGAGATAAAATATAACCGGCCCCCATCTAAGGGCTCACAAAATATTTTATCGATGAAATGGTAACAAAGTTGGACAACAAAATCATTTAGCAGATCAGAATTGGCCATTTGTTATTGTATCCAAAGTCAGAATTGCGTCATATTTCTTCATATAATAACGCCGGTCAGATATTGACTCGGGCTTCTAGACGCTGTGGAACTGATTCATACTAATGCGCCATTACCTAAATTACAACTTATATTATTGCAGAGCAAGCATTTGGCACTTTGTTGCCTTTTGATTGGAAATGCTCTGTAGCTCGATTGGGGTGTAAATTTCGGGTCACGGGTCGGGTTCGAGTCGAACTCGGAACTGACCCGAGTTCAAACGGGTCGACCCTAACCCGACCCGGGTGGACAAACGGGTCGGAAATCCGAACCCGACCCGACCCGATTTGGGTTCTGGTAATTGAATTTATTTTAAAATGAGTGCATTATAAAACTTAAGTGATTATTTACAATTTTTGTTGAAGAAAATTAAATATTATTTACAAACTGTAAGGTGACTTTTTGGCATAATTTTACACTAATGAGGCCTTTTGAGTAATGAATGGGTTAAATCCAGTGTTTGTTTTTGATTTATCAGTGGGGTGTCAATTTCGGGTTACGGGTCGGGTTCGGGTCGAACCCGAAATTGACCCGGCACTATTTGGGTTCGGGTCGACCCGACCCGGTTTTGCAAACGGGTCGATTTCCGCTTTGGGTTTGGGTCAACCCGACCCGACCCGCAGATGCGACATGACCTCGTGACGCACTGCGGCGCGACATGACCTCGTGACACTCGCGGATGCGACATGGCCTCGGGACGCGATGCAACGCGACGTGACACGTCCGGGCATGCGGGGCAGCCGGGAAGCGGGTCATTTCGGGCAGACGGATTTGTGTGCATTCTGGGTCATTTTGGGTTATTTCCGGGTCAAACCGAACCTGACCCAGTTTTTCAAACGGGGCGTTTTTCGGGACCTAAATCCGACCTGCTTCGGGTTCGGGTCAACCCAAACCTGAAATTTTCAAGTCGGGTTCGGGTCGAATTTTTGGGTCGGGTCCAATATTGACAAGTCTATTTACGAGCAGCTGCTACAGCAGAAACACCAACAAAAATAAAAGCTCATTAAATTCTTTACGTATTGCACCCATCTTAAGGAAAAATCAATATTTTTGAGACTCATCTTCATACAAAATTTATCCCTGAAATTGAACAAAATATTGTTTACAGGTTGACCTGACAAAATATTGTTCATTTTGTTTAAGCTGCAACAACCAAACTTGTTTGAATATTTAATAAATTGCACGAATTTTAAAGTAAAATTAATGATTTTGATGTTTTCATGATAATTTTTTTTAAAATGGAAAAGTAGTATTATTTACAGACTGTGGCATGTGCACTTGGGATAATTATTATAGGCTGTAGGGTCCTCTTCGACCTGTTGTATCAGTGCTGATTTTTGTTTAGACTGTAACAGACAAAATTTGCTGTTCTTCGCATAGGCAAAGAGAGGGATAAGCTTCACAATGAGAGAGGAAACAACCTGTCAAGAAATAGAAAATGTATTTTAATCCTTTGTTGATTGGACTTTTCGATGCTGGTGCTTTGTACATAAATTTTTTCCTTTTTATAGTTTCTGCAATTAGAATTATATTTTTAACGTACAATGCCCTGACTCTGTATACCCAAGTATGAGAACAATGTATGTGAGAAGAGAAACAATGAGAGAGAGAAAAGAGAGACTTGTACTTATTAAATAAAAACATGACTTGTATATAAAAATTAAGTAATAAATTTGAGTGCTATTTTATATCACAAAATAACTATTTATAAATTGATATAAACATCTTATACTTTAAAAAGGAAATTCATGTATTTCAATTGTAGATTTTATATTTTTATAAAAAGTTATATCAAGAGGTGTTGTTGCAACATTTATCCACGTTGTGCCATTTAAGTGAGTGACGTGATAATCGCTTTGAGGCGCTTCGGCAAATCGGTCATTCAACTCTGAACCTCCTTAAGTAAAAGGAGCTAAACTCTTAAACATCGAGACGCTTTTTGATATAATGGTTGAAATTTCACTAAGAAATTTTGCAGTTAAGCATGCTCATCTCAGATCAATTCCGGGACGAGTGACCTACTGAAAAGTTGCACCAATAGAATAAAACCATGAGGCTCTTAGGTCAAAGTAGACAATATCTCGATAGTTAAGAGTTTGAGCTGTTACATCAACACCTTAGGCCAATTTGGTAGGTCGAATTCGGCTAGGTCGAACTCAAAAGTTAAACTAGCTGAACTCAAATTCAAAATGATGCAAATGAAATAACAAGCAAAAATGTAGCTCATATTGTTCTATTGATTAGGAGCTTTGACTATCAACTAAGAAGTTTTGAGTTTGTAGCCTATATATGTGTTATGTGTATGAATTTATCTTAATTGACTTAGAGAGAGACATCACGCTAAATTAACCTGTCGTGAGTGGGGATAGGACCACCAAAGCGATTGGTTACAATTCTGGGTCGGCCAAACAAGTCCGTCCAAAAAAAACAATTATAACACGTGATGAAGAAGTTTCAACGTTAATTTCATGGCACGTTCTTGACTGGGTTTGTGGTTGATCAACAATAGAAGTCTTCTGTTGGGCCAATGGAGCCCTAATTTATTTATTTTATTAAATTATGATATTATTCATATGACAAAAGGTTTGTTGATGCATTGTTTTCATACTGCCCTGTTTTTCCCCCTTCACCTACATTTGACTATGACAACTATTATTTTTAAAATAAAAACTTAATGGAGATATTCGGCTGAAAGTAATAATGCCTTAAATACTCATTTGATTGCTTGAAATAAAAAATAATAATATTTTAAAAAAGTTGTATTACTAAATTTATTATTTAATTACATATAATTATAAATTAATATAAAATTAAAAAACAACAATCTTTAAAATTTCATTTTCATAAATTTATTTTTTTAATTTAATAAATTTTAAATATTTTTTATCTAAGAAAATCAAATAAACACTAAGGCTTCGTTTGGGACAGTTTTTTTTAAT